TTCGCTATTGAATCAAACTGGGACATGATCTCGGCTTGAAATTAATTTTTTGTATTAGATAGTATAGATATAGAGATTTTAGGAGCCTATAATTTGAAACGTTGTTTTCATACAAAGAGTGCTACAGTTGCTAATTTTCAGTTAGCTGTTAAGGCACGCAGGAATTCATTCAGGTGAGCCGCCGTTTTTTGTCCATTAGCTAATTTCAATGACAGCTGTTACATTGGTCACCTTATTACATTATAAATTTACATTATAAATTATCAGTACAACCTATTAAGATGATTTTATATTATTTATAGAAAGACAAATGCGCCAACGTCTTCAATTAAAAAGCGTTCTTCTTTCAGCTTTAGAACAATCCCATTTCTAGTTTATACTACACATAATTTAACTACTACAGTAAACATTTAGGTCACTATACGGCACAACAAAGCGAGGTCATTTTGGATGCCTCGCTTGCCCTTATGTAAGGGGTAGAAAGCAAGGTCCGGAGTATTCTGTTTTCCTATCCCTCTTGTTTGTTGATATCCAAATAAATATATCACTGAACCACTGTATCGCACATTTGTGTATTGGTAGTTCAGTGGTAGAATGCTCGCCTGCCCTTCATCACCATCTTCATAGCAATCAAGTTCCTCGACAGAAAGATCATCTATACGGGGCATTGGACATAGTAAAATCGCACTGTGCAACCTTATTCGAAAGAATGGCTTCCCGGTCAACATGCATCTTCTGTCCCCTCGAACAAAATACCGATGGATGTATGATGGACACACGTCTGGTCGCTGTCACCACTACTCCGACCGCGTCTCGAGAGCAATGCGAGTGGCAGCACTCGCACTATGTGAAAAATGCCTCAAACCTAGGCATGAAAGCAGATGCGATGTCTGCTGCTCGAATTGTGGCAAAGATCACGAATCCTTCCTCTACCCCAATAGATAAGGGCCATCATATCGGAATGTAAACGATGAACTTAGCCACCGCCACGACCACTGCCACGACCACCGCCACAACACCGCCTCGATCACCGCCATCACCGTATCGCCATCGCCCAACACTCGTTCGCCTGACTGGATTATTAAAATTCTATTGTTATCAAATAAAAATTTCTAAAATGTGTAAGCTTGCTTTCTGCTCCTTGCCAGTGTGCCGTATAGTAGACATTTAGGTCACTGTATGGCACGGCGGCGTAGCAAGAGGTCGCAAAGACATGTCGCCTATCCCCGGAGGTAGCAATTAGAGGCGCGAGCCATACCGGATGTGTCTGGCAACTTTCCAAAAAAAGGGTGCGGGTGCACCCACCGCGCCGTCAATGGCGTATTGCAATTTAAACCGTGCGTGA